ATACTGACCTTAGAACTGCAGAGCCGCAGGCAGTTTTCATTTTCTTCCTTCTTTTGCAAAAAAAAAAAAAAGATGGGCTAACTTTGTGTCCTTGTGTTCAGAGACCAAAAAAAAAAGCCTTCTCCTAGTGGTGGAATGTGACTTTTTTTACAGAATCACTTCTCACCCTTATTCAAGGATTTGTAAACTTATTTTGCCTTACAAAAATCTTACTGTCATCAAAGCTTGCTTGGAGTAGTGTTATCTACACCATGTTACATGTAGCTGTTACCCTCTAGTGTTCGTTATGTGTTGCAACAGGACAATTACGATTGCTACCTTTTTGTTTGTTTGTTGGAAGAGAGTATTCTTTCCTTATCTGAAATGGAATTTGCCTGGCTTTGTGCCATTCCATAAGTATAGCTTATATTTTAATATTCTAATGCATAAATTAGCTCTAAAAGAACAAGTAAGAGTTACTGAATATGTAAGTATATATTAGATGAAGAGGTAAAAAAGATCTTTCAGATTTCCATCAAATTCTCAGTATAAAAATCTTGATTTTACATTTTGTATTTTAGTAACATACTTATTTTTGAAACTTTATACTGGATTTCTAAAGAGGCTTGCGAATCTTGGTGACTACAAATATTCAGTGTAGCTTTTCATATCACAGAATGTATGACATACATAGAAAAAAATAGACAGGATATACTCAAAGAAGAACCGCTGCATATTTTGTTGATTAATATTTTTAATATCCCTTGTGTTATTAATTGCATTTCATTGCATCCCTATGCTATGAAATGCATGTAGTGAAAGTGTTGGTTATTGATATGTTATTTCAAGAAAGGGAAAGTATTACAAAGGTGTCATTAAATGTAATATTAGTAGTGATAAATAAGATGAATCTTCAAAGACATCTGCAGTTCTTAATATGACTTTTTTTTCTTGATGTTAACTGGCATTGAAATTCAGCTGAAAAGTGCATGAAGACAATGTAATTGCTCTTCTTTTGCTCCAGTAATAGCTAAGTGTGTGAATATTACCTTAATTATTTTGAGGTGATATTCTAATTTTCAAGTTCTATGGTTTGTCAGTTTCCTGGGTTTAATTAATTGAGTTGATTTTGGTGGGATAGAAGTACTTGTTAAAAAGAATGGGTGTTTATTAGTTTAGTAACACAACAAATAATCTGAAAAATAAGTTGATAAACTAGGTGTTTTACTTAGCAACAGTATACAAAGCAGTTTGTGTCACTCCCTGAGAGAAATGAGTGAAAAGCATTCAACAGTTCTTCAGTGTCTATTTGGAGGAAGGAGGGAAACACTGTTCGTTTGTTTTGGGGGTTGTGTGTTTGGGGGCTTTTCTCTGTGAAAGATGGAAAAATAATAATTACTATTTGCATATGTGAATGACCTGCAAGGGTAAAGGGAGTAACTAAATGAGTTAGTGGTAGATGAGCTAAGCAATTCTACATTAAAGAAGATTGATGGCCTTTAAGTTAAGAAGCCTCAAGATCTGCAGTTAGCTGTCTAGCTTATTCAAACATGAACCTTCCTGCCTTCTTCTAGCTTTTCCCTGTTGATTTCCAATGAGGAAATTTTTAAGTGGCAGTAGTTTTTTAAATAAGAAAATAAAATGCCTAATGATGTGAGCCAAAGCATCCTCCTGATTGCGTCAGTAGCTACCAGCTGCGACTGTTGCATTACCACCTTCCTGATGCTTTAAGCCCTGACAGCAAGGCCTCCTTTACTGAGTGGAAGCTATGGGACCCTTAAAGAATCCAGACATCATGCCATTATCATGCCATTAATGCTATCCATATATCTTTGTTTCCTGAGAATAACCATGTGAACTTGTTTGTCCAGCATGAGTCATACTAAGTAGGGAATTCAATTGTACAGAACTGCAGGACAAGACTGTTATTCCTTAACCCAGCAAATGTGCAATATGAATAATTATTTGTTTCCTCAAATAAGGGGCTGTATTTAGCTATCTTGATACTGCCCCCTTGTAAAACTCAAGGGTATGACTTGGTGAGTGGCAGTGAGCTCATTTAACAGCTCACTGCTGCTGAAAGGAGGCTCCTGCTCTTCTATGCTCTTGTCATTTACCACGTCTAGTCCCTTACTCAATTTAACTCTCAAAGGCAGTGGAAAAGAACTCAGCAAGAAACAAACTCTTCCTTTCCCAAACTTTGGAATTTTACAGTGAGAATTAAACCAGTGCCAGCTAGGATGTTGAGCCTTGTGGCAGGGAAAAGAAGAGAGGATAAAGGGACAGGGTACAACCCTTCTCCCTTTGAATGGCATCAAGCCATTAGAGGTGTCTGTGAAATCACAGGCTGGTTCCATTCCACAGACATGGAAACTTAGAGGTAAAATGGCCTCTCCATCAAGCCAAATGTGGGACTGCAAATGGCAGACACCTCTCTGGGTTTGCCTCCCAGGGTTTATCTATTCTTTATATGTGCTACTATGAATAACACATTCTAAGGGGACATTACCTGGGCAACTCATATTGTTATCAGTTTTCTAGAATTAAATGCTCTTTAAAAAAAAAAAGCAAAACAACAAACAAGCAAAAACAACAACAAAAAACCACCATTTTTCTTCATTTTGTTTAAATCTTCAATCAAGAAAAAAGACTTTCTGTTACCCTTGAACTAATCTGAATCCGATATTTTTATATGCTACTAAATGAGCATACTAAATACATCTATCTACTGTGATAGATGGTATGACATATTTTATCTAGTCATAGGTTAATGAATGATGTGCCGGCCCATCACAAGCTCTATCTTTCTGGAATGCTTTGGTAGCAGGAAGACCCCCGCAACAGAAAATGTGTTTTGGGAGATGCAAGAAGAGGGAATGAGAGAAAGAGAAAGGAAAAGGCTGCCTGACCTTCCTTCTCATTACTTCTACACGCTTTTTTCTCTGTCTTGTAAATTGGAAAACAAAATGAATTGTCAGTATGCCAGAATAAATTGTCTTTCTTTTTATTTCTTCAGCAGTGGAAACATTTAATGTTTATTTCTTTAGCAGTCTAGTCAGTTGAAATGCAGCATTATTTGGACCTTTATGTAGGCAATTATCCTCTCGCTTGTAAATTTTTTTAGGGCTCCAATCTGTTAGCTTGTTTTCATGCTTTGGAATTTCCTCTAAGGTGAAATCCAAGGCTGTTAAGATTGTGCTATAGGGAATATCTGAAGTTCTGTAAACATGTTTTCTTGCAGGGCAGCACAAACTTGTATAATTAAAATTATTTTTAATATGTTTTAGCAACACAGAAGGGAAACTTCTGCCAAAGTCAGAGTGCACTGTGGTTTTGAAATCTGAGCATAGAGGGAGCCAGATGCAGATATGGCAATCCCAACATTCATGAAGAGTGATAACAGAACACAAATATGTTGTAGCCAATTATGGTGTTTACTGATTCTTTCTTTTTTTAATCTCCCAGCATCACTTGCCAGCTAATCACCAACCCCAAAAGACTTTATGTTGCAATCGATTCAAGGTCTCAGGTTCACTGTTCTCTCCATCTTAAATTTAACTGATGTTGAAAGTATTTTAGTACTCTAAATATTTTAGAAATATTTAATATTAAAAAAAATCTACATAAAGGATAAATAAATTCACTGTTTTCAAAGTGCTGTTAGGTGACCAAAGGAAATCCCATAAATTATCGATGGGGTGGGGGGAGAAGGGAGATGTGTAAACAGGTTCTGATCTCCCCTTTCTTAACTCTTATGCCAGCAGATAGAAAAGCATCTTCAGGTGGAAATATAATTTCCTGCAGTTGGGTATTCTTAAGGATAGAATTGTCAAGAGAACAGCTTAAACCAGAATGTTAGTATAAGTTCCAAAACTCTAGGGAACAAGGACTTTGGCTTCCCTCTAGCTCTAGTACAGTCCTGACTTGTGAAGATCAGGGCTTTCAGCTTGCTGGGCATGGGGAGAGTTTACAAGATTCTTCAGTGAGTCCATAGGAGACAAAACTCTCTGTTCTGGTTTTAGCAGAGAAATTTGCTTGCCATCCTATCATTCTTGAAGACTTCTCTGTTGCCCAAGGCTTCCCCAGCTTTTTCTTGTACAAATGCCACAGGATGATCACAGTTTATCAAGTTTCATTGCAGTTTATTTATCAAAAAAATGACCTTGGAATCATCTGTGTAATATTGTTATCATACATTTTAGTTTAAACATTGTTTTGTCTTAATTCCTCCCTGCATGTAGATACTTAGACCTTCTGCAAGTAGGCAGTAGCATTCTGGAGTTAATTCAGGGGTTTTACCTCCTAGTAGCAGATGCTAACTGATGTACTACTTCCGTTTAGATAGTTGCCTATGCAATGCAAAACTGGAACCCTTAAGCAAAAACATTAGAGGAGTAAGACTAGCCCTGTAAATATTTCTGCTGCCTGCTTCAGTAAATCAGCATTTTAGGATCTTTGTAATGATTTGAGTAAAAATAAAATAATTACCACTCATGTCATAGTAATTATTTTATTCAGATAATTTTAGTGTTTTATGAGATACCTTGGAGATACGGCAGATGTGCCTTAAGGTAAGGCATTAAATTAAGACAGAATGTTTTGACTTGTTTTTAAATTTAGTTGTAACCAGTCCCTAGAAATCTATCCAATACAAAAATCACCATGTGAATCTGTGGAATACAGATCATGTTGTATTGAAGTTGGAATCCTGACTGTCTTTCTGTACAGCACAAAAAAGATAAATACTCATGTATATGTGCTGCCTTCATCTTACTGTTCCTGCTGGTGGTGTTCTGTACTTAGCTGAGTTAGCTTTGCTGTATGTGAGGGCTGAAATGAAGTAAATGTTCTCTGACCAAAGATCTCACAGTTAATTACTGCAGAATCACTGTGTAGCTCCAAAATAGAAAGCTGAGGATCAGCATGTGACTGTTCATTCTGCCTTCCCAGCAAGGTTTCCATTAGCAGCAAACAGCAGCTGCAGACAAAAATAGAAGGTGATAAGCAACTAGGATCTTTAGTTAACTGCAAAGTCACTCTCCATGACAGCAAGGAGTCCAGAGGAACAATGAAGTCTCTCCGATTCATTAGTGCTGAAGCATTCGTGTCAAATGCAGAGTTTGCCAGGAGGACTCTTGGTGGTGTAGCCCATAATCTTTTTCCTCTTCTTTTTAAAGCCAGCTATTTACTGGAGCAAGGGGAAGTTATTCATGACTTGGTAAAGAACTGGCCACTTGCTGACTTTAACATTGGAAAACTTTTGGGAACTACTGTGGACTACCAGGAAGATCTGAGCCATAGAACATGCTCAGTGTGCTTGGAGAGCTGTCTGACAGGCCTGAGAGACTATGTGCTGAATCATTCTTCTCCCTACATGAAAAAGTTGAAAGTGGTGGACCTCACGGGTATAAAAGATGTTGAAGTTCAGTCTTGTGAGTGTAAGAAGAGAATGGGCAGGTGGACCAGAACACAGTTGCTCTCTAAGCTTTGTTTGGAACTGCTGGTTTACCTGCAACAAACACAGTGCAACCCAGGTACCTTTGAAATCAGTATCGATGTGTTCATTGATTTGTATGTTACAGAGCGGAACTATGAGCTGGTGGTGCAGGCCCTGCTAAAGAAATGCTACTGTCCACTAAAGATCTGCTGTGTGGCATTCAGATCTGACAACCTGGCTTTGCAGAAATTCTTCTACATCATAAAGCTCACTGATCCTTCTTTGTTGCGCAAACTGGAAATAGTTCACAATGTTCGCTTGGAAATGGAACACCTGGAAATACTCTTCAACAGTATTCACTTTCCTCTATTGATGTCCTTGACCTTGCCGGCACGAACATTTAATGTGCGGAGGTTCACAGATGCAGATGAAGGGATACTTGCTAATATTGGAGAAAAGATGGGTGAAATGACACAGCTGACTGAGCTGAGTATATCCTTTTCTATACTCACAGGAAGAATACGGAAACTGCTCAGGTAATTTGGTCATCCAGCTTTTAGTCAAAGTGTAAGAATAGCCTTTCGTGCTTTTTTGGGGAGAATGGGAAGCCAGTGTTATTTAATACATTTAGAAGAACTGACTATTATTAGTTTTCCAGAACCTCTCTGACTAGAATGATGAAAATATACTTTGGCTACCACGTAAGAGAGGGGTATACCCAGACATTTTTAATTTGCCATGTTCTTGAGCTTGTATCTCAGTCAGCTTGGCTGGCTTTTTATGCAAGACCCGAGGCCAGGTAGTTTTCATATTCCAGGTATTTTTCAGGGTCTCTAGTGAATTTTTGTCCTCTAAAAACCAGGCAGTAAATCTACTGAGATTCCGCAGATACTGTATTTTTAGGTGGACAGGTGGACAGTAGACTTTGATTCAAGACTTTCATTTTAGTTGTCTCTGTTGACCTCAAAGCAAGAGAGATCTGACGCTTTTCTGTACTGCATATTAAGCTAATATATGAATATTCATGATGAATTCCTAGGAAAAAATGGCGATTTTCAAAAAGATAACAAGTTGCCTGTGAACAGTGTTCATATTTGAACAGAAAATAAGTTAACTATTTTTTTAGATGCTCTGAAAAGCAAAGGCATTCAAAAGTTTCATTCAGACAAATCACCTTGGTTTAAAATTCCTCCTGTACAAAGTAACTTCATTTAAAAGATGTGAATGGCACACTGCTTATATTGATAGAAATAAATAACAAGTTCCTAACCTTGATCCAGCTGAGGTATGTGGCAGAAGTCTCACTAAGATTTAGTATGTATGAAAGGGATCTCTTTATTTTCATCTGTCAGAGCTATTTTATATTCAACTAGAATATTTGCACATAATCTCAGGAACACTTCTTCCACACTTCATCATCTCAAGGTCTCTTCAAAACTCTAGAAAAAACCAATGTGTAAACCTCTTGGGCATTTAAAAATATACTAGAAACAAAATGAGAAACAAAAACAGATGTCTTGTTAGAATACTAGTTAGCATTCATCTTGGCATGAACCCTTCCTTAATGGAAATTTTCTAAATCTCTGGAATTATAACAGCTTTTTACAAGAAGCAGCCACCAATACTTTCATGATAGTAATGATACACTGTTAATTCAGCAAGTAATAGACACTTGCCAACATGTAACTGCTTACAAAATAGACACATAGGATGTTATCAAATTAATCCCCATTAAAACTACATAGTAGGAGACACAAAGTAGGAGCTAATTAACGGAACTGAACTGCAGGAGGAAAATTACTTGTCATTGTTGGCATACGCTTCATTTTGTCAAAAGAGGTTAGAAAAATAACAAATATGGCAGATGGCTACATTCACAATGTGAATAGTCACATGTAATGTTGTAAGTGTAGCATTTCAATGTTTTATGTCATAAAACTTTTTCTGTCTTTAATTCTGCAGTCCACTAAAAACTCCACTGAAGATGCTGGATATTTCTAACTGTTCACTAAACCATGCTGATATGGCCTATTTAGCCAACAGCTTCCATGCTAATCACTTAGAAGCCCTGGACCTGAGTGGTCACAATATACATGACCTTTACCCATCAACATTCTTTAAGCTTCTCAGCCATTCCTCTTCAGTACTCAGAAGTCTTACCTTGGAGGACTGTAATATCCAAGACACTCATCTCAACATGTTGATTTTAAGTTTAAGTCCTTGTCAGAAACTACAGGAGTTTAAGTTTATTGGAAATCCGCTGTCATCCCAAGCGCTTAAACAGCTTTTTGCATTTCTCTGTGAATTGCCAATGCTGAAAACTGTGGAGTTCCCAGTTCCAAGGGACTGCTACCCTACTGGCATCACCTACCCAATTGATGATGCCAGTCTCTGCAGATTCGATCAAAGAAAATACGAAAGTGTAGCAGAGGAACTTAACCTCATCTTACTCCAAGCAAACAGGGAGGATGTGAAAGCTTCAACTCCACTCTTTGGCAGCTATGACGCAGCTGTTGAGGAGACAAACAATGAACTGGGAGCTTATCTGATCAAGTCCTTCAAAGAGACTTTAGAAAAGTTCACTACTTCTTTAAAAATGAGTTAAAGATGCAATATGGTGATGAGCTGCTGTCAAATTAGAAGTTAGGGTTTTCTAGAACTATACCTTCATTGATCAGTCTTGAGGTTTAATTTCTCAGCTGAATTTACTTTTGATCAAATAGCCTCTGATCATCTGAGGTATTTTAACTACACTGTATCTATTGCATACACCTTACATAAGCACTATTTGCTTGCAAATGAGGACCCTTAAGACCTTATTATTTTTCACAAAAGCACTTTATTTCTCAATAAAACAATAGGTGTCTAAGCTTGGTTGATTTCCTTTGGATTCGGCAATGAGGCTCGTTATCCCTACAGAAAAGACAGGAAAGCCCTTTCCCAAGCCCAACAGTTTGTCTAAAAGATTGTGCACCAATCCTCACCTATGGCTCCCTAAATCAATTTTTGTTTTGCCCTTGGCCATCCAAATTCAGCAGTCTGTGTTTAATCCAGTACATTCCCAGTAGTGGGGGATGTATAAAAGCCTCCATGTCTCTATGCCTCTTTCTTCCGCAGAGGCAAGCATGACAAAACTTCCTTTTGCATGGGGAATTACAGAGGTCGTCAAACACATTGTGCTGGTGAGGAGTAAAGTTCCATACTGACGAGTCAGCAGACCAAATGGCTGGCTGACAGCAGGTGATTTTCCCCTACTTCCCCCAGTAATATAAAGAGGATTCTGCTGACGCTCTTGCTAAACATTTTACAAAGGCATACCAGGATAGTGCTGCACAGCCATGCTTCTGATGTCAGCAGGTAAGTGCCTCAAACTGCTCCCTTTGTTCAGTCAGTTTCTTAGCGATAGAATGTACCCAGCTGCTTTCAGCTCTTTTAAAGAAAGTCTAAGAGAGTGGCAATAATGCAGAAAAGGCTAGTTTCAAAAACACATATACAAAAATGTATCCAATGCTAATTTCAAAAAATGTGGAAAAGGGATAAGGGGGGTTGCTGAGTAACTAGAAGCTCATCTGCATAAAACTCTGCCCTCTCCTGCCAGGACTGTGCATTGTTCTGCCACAGAATTAACAACCACTGCCGGGAAAACAAAATGAAAATCACATTCATTTGGCAAGCTCCAGTGCAAATGTATTTGAGTGACAGAGTAAACAGAATCTCAGACCTCCACACACAGTGTTGGAATGCTGGTAAAGGGGCCAACAGGGTGTCAGAGTGCAGCCACAGGGCCCCACAAAACAAGTCTGGGGAAAGTACTGTAAGGGGGGGAGAGTACTGGGAGGGGAAGAGTACTAAAAGGGGGGGTGTACTATTTCCTACATTTAGAATCACACAGTTATAGAATTACCTGGGTTTGAAAAGACCTTTAAGATTATTGGGTCCAACCGTTACCCCAGGACTGACAAAACCACCACTAACCCATGTTACTGAGGGCCCCATCTACATGGTTTCTGAACTCTTCCAGGGATGGCGATTCCGTTTCCTTGACAGCCTGTTCCAGTACCTGATTACCCTCTCTGTGAAGAAATTTTTCCTAATATCCAGTCTAAACTTCCCTGGTGTAACTTGAGGCCATTACCTCTTGTCCTATCATTAGTTACTTTGGAGACCAGCCACCTCCTTGCTCCATCCTCCTCCCAAGTGGTTGTAGAGTTCCCCCTGAGCCTTCTCTTCTCCAGACTAAACAACCCCAGCTCCCTCAGCCGCTCATCACACTTGTGCTACAGACCTTCACCGGCTTTGTTACCCTTCTCTGGACCCGCTCCAGCACCTCAGTGTCTTTGTTGCAGCTGAAGGGCCCAGAACTGAACACAAGACTCCAGGCGCGGCTCCCAGCAAACTCCCTGGGGCTGCCCTGACCCGGCTCACCTCCAGCTGACGGGCAGCTGCCACACCGGGCGGTTCGAAGCTCCTCCACCCACCACTCCCAGGAGCCAGCGGGCAAGGGACACCCGTGCATACACCGAAGAGGCTCACTCGCCTCACGGATCTCCTCAACCTTCACCCACCGCCACCACCCGCACCCACCGCGCCGCTCTTGCTACCGTGGGACACCGCGCATGCGCCGGCTGCCGGCAGAGAGGGAACGCCCGGCTGCAGCGCCACGCTTCGGCCACGAGGCGGCAGCACCCGCGAGCACCCGGCGGTTGCTTTCCATTGCAACGCAACGCCCGTCGCCGGCGGGCGGCAGCGTGGAGCACCCGCATCACCGGCATCGTTTGGTCGCCGAGGGCAACAGCGAGCGCGACGGCGGCGCCCTCCATCGTGCTTGTGATGCGAAGGGTTAGCCGATATACGGGGGGGGTAGGATTAAACCGCTTGCTTAACAATATTATTGCTTACTCGTGCTTACTCAACAAATACGTGCTCAACACTTACCGTGCTTGCCGGAACAGAGTGGGAGGACCAAGGCTATTGGAGGAAGAAACAGTAACTCCTGTTCTCTGGACCCCTAAACCAACTGAAATCAGCTTTGCGGTTTTAGACAGTGACTAAATCACCAGGGAACATGCGCAACGACTAGAGATGAAAAGTTCAGGGAAGACTCGTTTACTTCATCTTGAGACCCCCGCCCTTGACCACCAGGAGACCCTGTGCAAGCAAGGACCTTTTACCTCATTATAATATGAAGGGGGGGTAGGTCATGAATATGTATAGGTGTGTTGTGTAACCTCATGAATATGTAATCGTTTAGAGGATAAATATGAAGGAGAACAATGCTGAGGTGCATGTTTTTGGAGGAATGATCTCCCATGAGCCTCCATGCTGAATAAAAGCATACCTACTTTACATCTTTAATGAGTTGTGGAGTCTATCCACGTATCATTTGCACCCATGTGTCAGGGCAATTCCAGGCGAAGCTATAGGTCGGGAGGAGAAGAGATTCAGAGCAGCCCTATGGAGAAGGACTTGTGGGCATTGAGTGATGAGAAGCTCAACATGACCCGGCAGTGTGCGCTGGCAGCCTGGAAACCAACCATTTCCTGGGCTGCATCACCAAGAGGCCAAGGGAGGGGATTCTTCCCTTCTATTCCAGTCTCACGAGATCCCACTGGGAGTACTGTGTTCAGTGTCCTCAACAAAAGAAGGCCATAGATCTGTTGGAGCTAGTTCAGCTCCAACCAGGAGGCCACGAGGATGAAAAAGGGGCTGGAGCACCTCACATACAAAGGCTGAGAAAATCTGGGCTGTTCAGCCTGGAGAAGGCTGTATGGAGACCTCATAGAAGCACCTGAAGGGTCTACAAGGTTGCTGGAGAGGGACTCGTTGTCAGGCTCTGTAGTGATAGGACAACGCGCAATGGATTCAAACTGAAACAGGGCAGATTTGGGTTAGATATAAGGAAGAAAGTCATTACGGTGAGAGTAGTGAGGGCCTGGCACAGGCTGCCCAGAGAAGCTGCGGCTGCCCCATCCCTGGCAGTGTTCAAGGCCAGGTTGGATGGGGCTTGGAGCAACCTGGTCTGGTGGAAGGTGTCCCTGCCCGTGGCAGGGGGTTGGAACTGGATGGGCTTTAAGGTCCCTTCCAACCCAAACCACCCTATGCTGGCGGAGCTGCAGCAGAGGTATTTGGCACCGCTTACCCCCTCGCGCACGCGCGGCACGCGAGATGCGGCAGCGACGTTTGGCCGTTGGGCGCCGGTAGCGAGCGCGGTGTAACGCTGCTGGCGCATTGCGCGGGGCTCCAAGTGCTGTACCGAATGTTGGTCGCCGGGCGGCAGAAGCGACTCTGGCGTCGTCCCGCGTCCCAGGACTACAGCTCCCGGCATGCTCGGGAGGCAGCCGTCCTTCCTTTTTGGTCGTCCGGGGACACCGTCCCCTCCAGTCCTGTCAGTTCTTGTCCACCGCAGACGCATGTGGTACCCGCAGCGACTGCGACCCTACCCTCCCCAGAGTGGCTCCGGGCACAGCCCTCTACCCCCCCCGCCCCAGCGCTGTGCCGATCTGAGCCTCTGTCACAAACCCTGCCGGCCTCGGCACCCGCCTCTCTCGGCGACAGCTCCGCTCTTCCGCTGGCTCACATAACAAGCCGCGGGAGCGAGCCTGCTGCAGGGCTCGGGACCCCCGACATTCTCCCTGCCCCAGGGGTACTTCGGAGGTCGGTTGGCTTTCGGACCGATGGGCTGAAGGGCGGAGCCCACCAAAACAAGAAGAGCAGGGCGCAGGACACAAGGAGAAACAAGCGGCAGCCAGCCGGAGAGTAGCGAGGAAGCGTCAGGCAGGGACCGGGACAGCAAGAGAAAACCATAAAAGACTGGTACAAGAGAAATGATAGGCACAGCACGACCGGAGGGTGAAGGGACCAGGACAGGGGTGGAGAAAGAAACAGGAGCGTCAGAGGAGGAGAGGCAGAAAGAGGGAGGAGGCGCAGGACAGATAATGAAAAAGACCTCAGATGGGCAGCACAATAGAGAGGGATTTAAAAAAGAACAAGGGCAGGGAGCACGAGAGAGGTCTTCCGTTCCTTTTTCACCCTTCTCACTTTCTATTCTTCACCCACCTCACTTGTCATTCTTTCCTGCCACTGTTGGGCTAAGAAACCTTAACCCAGACACAAAATCTTCTTATTGGGCTGAAATGTAGCTTGCTCATCCTGAGAAAGGTTTCTGGTATTACTGGCTCTGTAGTACCTCTGTTGGGAGGCTGCGTGCTGTTTACACAGCTTATTCCAGGATCCTCTGTAGTGAGAATTTGTACCAGAGCTTAGCACTAGTGACTAAAGTAAATGAAACCTTAGGCCACTTGTACTGTACTTTAACCTTTGTTTTTATCTATGGAAATGTAACTGGTAGATAAGTATAAATAAAACTTTACAGGATATTATGTAACAAAAGATAAGGAAATGTCTCAAGACACAACAAAAAGGGAGCCTGGAGGCTGTGGGAGCAAATCAGAAAAGGAGAAAAACCAGACTCAGCAAACAGGTTTTTATGCGCCTTAAGTGCCACCAAGAAATCAAGGAACCTGTAGAGATTATGAAACGCAGTAACAATCAAGAGGCAGGCCCCTCTGGAGAGGCACCCAGCTCGAGTTGTAACTGCTGTATTAAACGCAGTGGAAAAGGAACTCTGATTCTTTTTATTAAAGTGGAGGTGACATCTGTGTAATTCCTACCACAGTCTGGGTGGTGCCTGTATTATTTTCTACAACACCTCTGAGCATTCAGGCTCTAGCCCCAGCTGCAACTTGGTTGTTGACAGTAACAGTGATAGTGATAAAGGTACTCCAGTGGTAAGGATTTTTCCTGGAGGGGAGCCAGACCCCTCCAATAGTAAGGACTTTTCTCTGTTTCATTATGAAAATAGTTGAAGACGGAATCCAGTGAAGAAACAAATTTACATAAGAAAGATACAAACAGCAACAATTCTCACCCTTGTAAAGTCCTATGAAAACCCGCGTATGTTTAACCCTGTGTATGGGTGTGCGCAGGTGCATGCAAAGCTGAATGGAAATCCAAAAATTTGAGAATAGCAGGAGCAGAAGGAAACCAACTGTACTTGTCTTTGTTCAGAAACTTAGGGTTAGTGCAAAAGATACAAAGAAACAAAGTATTTATTGTTAAAAGCTTTCCTACGAATCACTCAGCATCATACAATGAAGATATGGTGGCTATAGAGTAGAGGGAGTCTCTCTCTTCTCCCTCTCCCCCTCTTTATACACATATTTGCTCACTCTCACAAACCCACAATTGTATTTTTCTTTTAATGGAGTTCCTTTCTTCAGTGAGATTGGAAAAGGTGTTTATCATACAGGATCTGGCAGAACAGATATATCCTATTAAACAACAGAGCAGTTACAGAAAGGAGACCTCTTTCTTCAGGAAAAAAGTGCTTTCTTTTCCCCCTCATCTCTTTGCCATAAAGGGTTATCAAGACACCAAAACAAAACAAAACAAAAAAAAAAAACAAAACTGGCCAAAAAAACCCCCCAGTACCAAATTAGCATTTTGGCAAAATTAGAAACCCGAGGATATGCCCCAATATTGACATATGCACTAATATTTTCACTTGGCTTCCACAGAATAAATTCTAAACAATGTGGTTTAAAAAACTTGCCAGCTGAAACAATGTCGGCACTACAACTACTCACCCTGCTAAGCTGAACAACTGAATCCCTGTTAATAACAGTGGAAAATGTTTTGACAGTATGTCTCAAAATTACTTGCAGAACATTTGGATTTGTCCTGCCTGGCCATTTCCCAGGCTATATCCAAGTTGAGACTGGCTCTCTCCCACATGCTCTCTACAGGTAAACATACACACGTGCACACAACATATACAGACTCACATAAACTGTGCTATTTCCAAAGTACTTTGCACATTATCCTGCGCTAAGTCTTACAGACACTTCAGTGGTGCTCTGCTCCATCTTTTTATTTCATTTTCTACTGCTGTATTCTCTCTATTCCATAATCAATCATTTGTTTTCCCTTAAATTTCTAAGAACTCGTGGTCTGAATCCTGACTCATGGCCAACAGCACAAAGGACTAAAAAAAGTGTTTCAAACCTGCCATGTCAACACTTCAGCTCCCAGACAGCTTTATCTTCTACTGGTACTCCAGAATTCTGTTTTAACCCTCTCCTAGTTTGATGCTATATTTCCTAACAGTCTATATTATCATCTATGCATTAAATACATCTACGCACAGAATGTTTTCTTGCAATATACACAGATTTGTATCGTACTGTGGCAGCAACTGAAGACTCCAAAACACAGAATCACAGAGTGGTTCAGGTTGAAGAGACACTAAAGCTCATCTAGTTCCAATCCCCTGCCATGGGCAGGGACACCTTCTACGAGACCAGGTTGCTCTAAGCCTTGTCCAGCCTGGCCTTGAACTCTTCCAGGGACAGAGCAGCCACAGCTTCTCTGGGCAACCTGTGCCAGGGTCTCACCACCCTCACAGGGAAGAACTTCTTCCTAATATCTAATGTAAATCTCCCCTATGTCAGTTTAAAGCCATTTTCCCTTGTCCTGTCACTACCTGCCCTTGTAAAAAGTCCCTCTCCAGATTTCTTGCAGGCTTTCTTTAGGTTTTGGAAGGTTGCTCTAAGTCTCCCTGGAGCCTTCTCCAGGCTGAACAAACCAAACATCTTCTTTTCATTTTTTATACACACAAAACGACAACCATTTTGAACTTAAAATGAATTTATCATTCACAATCTGCCACAATTACATGCCTGTTCAGTACTACTACCACTGCATTTTCATTTTCATATGCCCAAGCATATGCCCAGTATTCCTCCATTATTTCTCTTCAAATATAATTTCTCTTTTTGCAAACAAGCAAGCTCCTGGCTGCACTCCTGGAACAGAGGACAGAATTTCTCTGTGTCTCTTCAGTGAAAGACCCAAACACAGGAAAAAAGCATCAAAATCTCAAATCCCAGTTTAATCAAAGGAAACACACCTGACAGCTATTCCTAAGACTCACTGTTGGTGACCATTCTTTTCACGTACAGTAGGAATATAGTCAGTGGGATGTAAGAATTTAGATTTTGGATTGACATCCTCAGCGTCATCTACAGTGGCTGACTCATGCATGTGCATGCATGGACACATGCACACATACACACTTCAGTACAGCATTGGTGCTTTACATAGATCCACCTTCCAGTGATGCTGTTGTGAACACTGGGCAGCAATACCACATTAATTTCATTAGCTTGCTCTGAAACAGACTTGGAAACAGATCCATCCAATTAATTCAACAGAGAGATTCTAAAAGCAGGCTGGACTCCATTATGTTGCCAGCTGTGGCACATGACTGAAATTTCTCTGTACAAAGATTTGCCACTTCAATGGGAAAGTTCTCAAAACACAAAATTCCTTGGCAGACATCCCGTAGGCATCTATCCCAGTCCCATGCCCTTCTCACATCCTTGCATATCATTCTCCGCATTTCTTATTCCTTGAGACTGAATGCATCCCCTGAATGTAGCTGCTCTGTTTACCACATACAGAAAAGAGTTTTATACACTGGACAGCATGCACACAACTGACACAGCAGCATAATAAATATGGAAGCACAGTAGCAGACGATCCCCACTGTTTTCCCTCAATGCTTGCTTGTATTCCAATTAGTGGAGTCCTAAAGAAAGTAAGATTTCAAGTCTGGCAGCCTCACAGCCCTTCACCATACCCCGTTTAAGATTGCAAGATTTCACGTTTTACTGCAAAAAGAGGTTTTAACGCAAAAAAAGTTCCAAACAAAGCCATTCCTGGTAAAAGGCCTCGGGCAAAGAGGTACAGCTATGCTTTTTCTCACACCAATGGTTCTGCGTGATGGTACTACCATCATGACTGCAATCAAATGTAAATTTTCCACGATATCTCTGAACACAATGGACAGAGTGAAGGCTATAGCACTATTTCTGTGAAAGCACAGGTATTAAATGAAGGGGTGGAAGAGAAGACTATCTCTTGTGACTGGACAGAAGAAACTTTCAGTTCGACACAGAAAGAAATTGGCAAAGATAGCAGAAGAGAGAAGGACAATACTATAGCAAAGTGCATTATTCAGAAGAGCAGTCTCCCGTACCACACATGAATTTGATTATCTTTCCAAGAAAGTGAAAGGAGATTCAAAGGAGTAACCTAAGAGCATTTTGAGTGCCACATCATCTGGACAGTTACAATCTGGCAGCTGCTTTTTGCACTAGAAGTCATGTTGGGCCATTAATTACAGACTAATCTATGCACTACAAAAAATGAGAGTGAGAGGAGGATTAAATGAAGTGTCCCTGCATCCAATTAAATATGGTTTAAATTCCCATAGTCTGAATTTGCTGTACATTTACAAAGAACATGGTTTCAATGTGATACGTTCTCTGTGCTATTTAAGGCTGATAGTGCTTTATAACTCAACAGCATCCTATATGACCAGTATGTATCATGTATGGGGGAACCAAATCATTCATAGTAACAGGCAGTTCACCTATAATCAAAATGTGAGACCTGTTAACATCTTGAAGAGAAAACTGCCACATTATAAGAAGTTAAGCTTCTTGGATTCTGCACCAACTTAACAATCAGGGAACTTCTTTTCAGTGCAGATTCCTACTGGCACACAGAGAAACATTTAAGTGTCCTGTATTTTACATATATGCTTATTGTTAGTATCTGCTGTGTTCAAGGCAGGTATCAGCAAAGCACCATTAAGTTATTTTTATCTTCTCAGAATGCCTCATTTCTTGCTTCAACCTCAGCTTTGCTAATACCACTGACATAAAGGATGCCTAAGAAGCTCTTATCCCTCAGATAATTCTCTTCCTCTCAGTACAGCACACTGATCATACCCATCTACAGATAATGTAAATCAGTCTACCTTTCACTGCAGGGGCAAGGGAAAAAAGAAGTATTAGAATTTGCAGAAGAGATGTTCTGACTATGCTTCTTTCTTCCAGAGGGGCTCTTCATTCCAGAAATGAAAATCCTCCTAGTTTCTTCTCTCCCATGGTGAGATGGCTTCTTGTACTGTTCCACCTGGAGTAAAAAATCTATTCAGGAATGTAAAGCATTCCACAGCTATAAGAAAGACAATCTTGTATAATTCCAGAGAAGTTACTATTTGAGACTCTTAGGTAAATAGTATGAGAACTGCATTTATTTCTCTAAATCTGTAGTCTCCTATAATACCTATCTCAACCTCCCCTTCAGTGCCACCCACAATTCTATGCATAGCCCAGTAGGATTTGCTGTGTAGTGTCTGAACTTTCCACTAAAACTTAATAATGTGCGTTGATGAATGAACCTTTAATCTTCTTTAACACTGACACCTGTATGGCGCTGTCTCTGGCCTTGAATTGTTTGGGGCCCCCCCCATGGGCAAGATTTTCAAGGGTCACTCAAAGCTGGTGTTCTGACTGGTGTGCTGATGGTACATTCTCATCCAGTCAGCAAGCAGGTCCATGTGTAACAGTGAGCTAAGTAACACTGGGAAGTCCACTGGTTTGGTGGTCATGATGCCAATGGGATCTTGTGAACAGTACTTATGTGTTGCGCACTCCCAGAGATTGTTCCAGTTCCTGCCGGCGCTGCTGGATCTGAAAGTAAAAGAGAAACTGTACAGTTTAGCAGATTCAATTTTGTAGTGGCAGAAGATTCATTTATAAGCCAGCAGTGTGGATAATTCCCTCATACCTTGCAGTAGAAATATCTGCTCACAGCCTCTTGAGACCATGGCTCATGATAAAATTCAGCTCTGCGTTCTTCCTCTGGGTTTCCAACTACATCAGTCATCACCTGTGACAAAAATAAAAATGTTTTTCATTATAGCTCCTCTACCATGTAAAGAAATGTAAAGAGATTTACCTAAAGTCAAATTTTATCTGTATTACTACATTAAAAATGTTCAGGACCATTCTTTAAGCCCAAGGCAAATGGACAATGAATGGCATGTGTGCTTAATTACCAAAACAGTATGGTCACATACAAACTGTCAGCTGTGAACAGCTCCTAACCTCTGCTTTCTCTGTGCCAAGGAATAATTCTAAACACCAGTAGTTGCCCTGGCCAAGTGCCACAATCACTAACAGTTTGACAGCATGGATAGCTTAGTTCCAGCACCCAGGAAAAGTTCCCCAGCACCATCTATTTTATTAGCCTATGTGTTCAAAGAACCTCAGTAGTTACCCATACATAAGGTAACAGTTTGAAATTATTAGGGTATTCACATTAGATTGAAACACAAATCTATACTAGTGTTGCCCTTATCTCAAAGTGTATTTTACCTTGATTTCAAGTAAAGTTCTGATGGCGAAAGCGTTAAGGACAAATTATTCTACTGAAGTGTGAGGAACAGAACCCTAGTAATTCAGAAAAGTCCTGAGCTGCTTTTCCAGTCTCTACACAACTACCAAGAAAGTAGGATTTGAACAGAAAGTTGTTTAAGGAATTAGTGGATGGGACCACCTGGAAAACTGTCCTTAAAGACAAAGAAGCTGAACAGAGCTGACAGCTCTTTAAGGACATTTTTCTTAAGAGTGAAAGAGCTCTAGATCCCCATTTGTAAGAAACAGGGAAAGGAAGGCAGAGACCAGCATGACACAGCAAGGACGTCCTGGTCAAACTAAAGCATAAGAAGGAAATGAACAGGCAGTGGAACTAGGGACTTGTATCTTGGGAAGAATATGGGGATCCTGCCCAGATGTGTAGGGATCAGCTCAGGAAAGCTAAGGCCAGCTGGAGCTAGATTTGTCCCTCTACTCTGCTCTTGTGAGATCCCACCTGCAGTACTGTGTCCAGCTCTGGGATCCACAGTATAAGAAAGACATGGAGCTGTTGGAGTGGGTCCAGAGGAGGCCATGAAAATTGTGACAGGGGTGAAACACCTCTCCTATGAAGAAAAGATGAGAGAGCTGGAGTTCACCCTGGAGAACAGAAGGCTGCAGAGAGACCTTACTGTGCCATTCAATACTTAAAGGAGCTTTTAAAGAAAGGTGGGGACAGGCTTTTTACCAAGGCCTGTAGTGACAAGAGGCAACGGTTTTAAGCTGAAAGAGGGTAGGTTTAAATTAGATATAAGAAAGACTTCTTTATGATGTGGTTGATGAGGCACTGGCAGAGGTTGCCACAAGAAGCTGTAGCTTCCCCACCCCTGGCCAGACTGGACGGGGCTTGGAGCAACCTGGTCCAGTGAAAGGTGTCCCTGCCCATAGGAGGGGGTTGGAACTCGACAAGCTTTAAGGCTCCTTCCAACCGAAACCATCCTATGATTCTATAAAAAAATAACATTCGGATGACTAAGTCTCCACCATCACAGAATTAAGGGTAAATATAAAAATGTTTACATGTTTTGCAGAGTACTGTTGTGCAATTATAATTCCAATGCAAGCAGGGCAGAACATTACAGAGAAGGCCCTTACGGGACTGGCTGTCAGTCAGGGAGAGCACTGAACAACTGTTCTAAGTATTCAGTCAGAGAAGCTCTACAGCAACTTAGTTTTTAAGCTCTTCAAGCTTAAAAGGTGCTTTATTTAAACATTCTTTCAAATGCCTGTCCCCTTTTGAATACAGTGTAAATAATAATAATCATAATCTTAACAACAGACCTTTGGAAGACTATTGACTAAGAAACAAGACATTTCTATTTGAAAGATACAATTTTATTAAAATCATTTCATGGATTCATTAATACATCTGATTTTGAGGTGTCTTTATGAGGAACAAATTACTAATTTTTGTTGGCAAAAAAATGAACTTGTTTACGTTCCATTTCTTAGGTACCTCAAAGCTAAGCTCAAAGGCAGCTCATATTTAATGTGCTGTTTATTAAATAAGATTAAATTATGAACAAAATCCTCAAATTGTGTTATCATACACAATACAGCTTTAATTTTACAGAATACACCAACACAGCCCTGCACTTCACTCTTGCTGTCTGACCACAAATTCACCCACCATTAAGCACAGCTGTTCTGCTGAAAGTGGAATACAGCCTAAGCTGTCTTTCCTGCATACTGTCTGCTCTGGGATTGCAGTATTCCACTCAATATCTGTCTTCTACCAGTTTTCCATCCTGGATGTTTTAGCTATACACTGTATATGCACTAAGATAAAATTCTTACATTATGGTTCCATTATTCATTCTTCTTCAAACCTTAGCTTACCTTAAGATCCCTGCTTTGGGACCGGAGAAGGTCTTGGATGTATCCTTTGGGATCTTTGGAGAAACTCAGCATGAAATCACGTTGTATTTTTAGCTGATTTATAGATTCAATTGTCTCATGAATCTGACAGAAAAAAAAACAAAGCAGATGTACTTGATTCTTCCCATGATCCAGTAACCCTGAGGTGAGCCCTATTAGCATTTCTTGTGAAGTATAAAGGTGACAGTTATGTACCTCAGACTTGCACAGGTCCCCATGGCTTTCTCCCTTCAAAGAGGGAGTTAACCGCAATCCTGCAATTACATTTTGGTTTCACCTGTACTTCTGCTACACAGGTATGTATGGGATTCTTCTTCACTTCCTACACTGAACTGCTGAATAGGATGCTATATACAATACTGAAGAGCTAAGTCATGTCGCTATACAATGTAATAATGTCCTGTGTATAATTAGTCTTTCTGACAACTCTGAGATTTTTCAGGAAAGATGCTATATAATATGTCTTTAGACAGTGCCCAATGCAAGAAAGCAGTTACTGCCCAGTTTAATCATCATCATATATTCAATACCTTGCTGTGATCCTTAAAATTTCTAGTGATTGCCTGATCACGTCCACATTAAATTAACTCACATAACAGCCACAACATCTACATTTTTTTCTTATGAGAAAGCCCATTAAAGGTGCCAAAAAGAGTGTGAAAATGAAAACTCAGGAATATGGAAAGTTTATAGAAAATGAGTCATATCTTCAGAAATATGATGAAAAAATTGAGCATTAGCCATCAAGGAAGAATGAAGACTCCAAACAGTCCTAAAGTCAAGGTCCTATAATCATCCTGGATAACAAGATCAAATATGATCAATGGGAGGACAGTTAATGAATCATTTGCACATACACACATAGAAAAGCGAACTTCCGCTATTCCATTCCTCTCAAATTCCAGTTTGACATTTTAAACCTGTCTTTTTTAGTTTCATGTATACATCTATTTTGTCATAACAGCTAATATGGCCAGGCACATGGGGAAAATAATCCTTCCCTGATCTCGCTGCACCATCAAGGCCACTAGTGTATGCACAACTATATGGTATGTTAACAGAAGAGAGCTGCTGTCCACTTAAAATCATTCCTTATTTGGGAAAATGATGTAGCCACGCTGGAGAGAAATCTGTTGGCATGCACCGAGTTTCCACTAGAGGACTCTGTGACAGCACAGCAATAAATGGTACAGATGGTAACAATGCAGCAGCCTATGCCAGTTTACTTAGAAGTTACTTCAGAAACCTCACTAATCATAGCTTGCTGTCTGCTGTAGGAGGTGCTCAAAAAAAGGAGTGATGCAGACATCGGAAATGGTGGGCTGAACTGGAAATGGAATAATGCTATGCATGCTGCATGCAAGCCTATATAGGCTGGGAACCAACTGGCTGAGCAGCTGCCCTCCTGCAAAGGACCTTTCTCAAGAGCCATAAAACAAAAAATGCTGCAGTGGTTACCAGAATACACAGGACTGCTAGTGTCCAGCCCCCCTTTAAAATCATATGAAGACCAGGGTTTAACATACTTGTTTGTATTAGAGGTAAACAAACAGAAACTGGGCCTATCTGTACGTCACATAAGTCATCTCTGGTCCAGTGTCACACCTCTTCTTCCCTTGCTCTGAGAAGCCACTTTTGTTCATTCCTTACCAACCTAAACCAGCCATTTATATACATGCCAAAAGCTGGCTAACAGTCCACTACATGAACCCCTAATACAAGCCCGCAGAGCTCACCACTGCTGTAAGACAGATACTGTTATTTAAAGTACACATGATCCTTTTTCAATAACCCTGAAAACAATTCTGCCAACTGCTCCAATTGATTTTTCTACCATGCATTTTCCATATTTGCACCTACAGCAGAGAGCTGTTCTGCAACCAAACAGGCACAAGACACATCCGGAGTATGACATTCTCTTAGCTTTGCTTTATAGCAATTTAGCAAGATACCATGACCTCTCAATAAAAAGTTATAGTCAAACAGTTCAGATGATTATTGAATGCCAGGGGACTCATTATACCACCTATGAAACTCTATCACCTCGACAACTGTGTCAAGCCCTGGATCACATCCTAACCAGGAATGCCACTCACTCCTCTGTATCCCCATTCCATGTGGCTGATTCATCCCTTGAAAGCACATCCAATTGAGAAGCCTCTGTCTTATAACAGTACTGTCTTTGACATGTGACACCAAGCCCACATGAAGGTACGCAATGTCATGTGATATGCAATATATGCCATGTGATACCTTACTCCTGGGCTAGTACCTTGTTGTCCAATGCTGTAATCTCCTGTTGGTTAGCTGTTGAGAGAAGAAAACTACTCATCTGTCCCTTTAATGGGTCTTCAACTTCTACATCTATGTCATAACAAGCTGTCTTCTTCTGATCGTTTGGGTCAACACTATAGAGAGTAGAACAGAAGACCATTAGAACTGCCGTAATGAATCAGAATAAATATCCATCCAGCCAAGAATACACTCTTTGATAAAGCCCACTGCAGACGCTTAGGAGTTTAAGAGTTTAAGAACAGAGTTTAAGAACAAAAGTATCTTTATGTATTTGTATATCCTAGTATATTGTCTCATCTTTCATCAGTCAGAATTCAGAGGCTCTTTGCTGTCTCTCTGCCCCTGGAAACATAACCATCAGTTCCTTGTCATTTTTCTTCAAGACAATGACTATCCCTGAGGACCTCAGCTTTTTTTGGTCCACCAAATAGGTCACTGAGTTGTCTTCAATTTATATATAGCTAGCAATCTACATGGTAGTCAAGCTGCTTTTTGATTACTCTGTTTTATACACTCAAATCAAAAAGCAAATTTTGTTTTGATAGCCTATGTAATATTTAAACTTCTTATAATGTATATTAAATTTAAAATAAAGAACCTAATTTTAAGTATATTCAGAAATGTTTGTTGTCAATATTCTGTAGGAAATGAAGTCACTATGCTCAATTAACAATAATATTTAAACACCCAGAATCAGAGTTTTGACCAAGACCACAAAAGAACTTGGGAAAGACTGAAGTATCTGAACGACAGATAAAGAATCTCTTTATCTGTCCATGTCCCTCTCCCCCCCTCCAAGTTGTCACTTATATACGGAATGTGCTGGAAGTGCCCTAGATAGCTGAGAGTTGTATTTCATCTACTATGCCAGGAATACATTTGTTTTGACAAGGATGCCAGAAGCTCAGTACTCTTGATCACAATGACCTTCTCCGAATCTAGGCATTCTATACTGCGCATCTCTTGAGATCTCTGACTAGTTTACATTCTTAGAAATAAGATCAACACCCAAACAACAGCCGACCTAATCCCAACAAAGCATGCATGGACTGGCCACTGTATTTGAAACTGTAATACTGCTGTACATTTTACAGTGACTGGAATGATTGTTCATGATGTACAATATCTTACTTCATTTCCCTCTTTTTCCCTCTAAGTGGATTCAAACTCTCATTCCTCTCCCCTTAGGAAAGAAACCTGACCAACTCTTTCAGTGGTATTCTAGTAGGCATAAAAATAAGAAGTTGTTTTGTATACTCCTAAAGAATTGGTACCATTCTATTGAAAATCACTCAGAATTACATAGACCAGAATGACACAGAGAATAAACACACAAGAAAGTCCAAGGTACTCACCTGGAAGTTATAAAAACTAGATTCTGGTCCCTGCTACTGTAGCTGTTTCTGTATTTTATATAGTGAGTGTTTTGCACATGACAGTGCTGAGCTGACCCACCCGCTTACCTGATTATATGGTTTATCACTATAGGGTCTGGTGGCAGCAGCAGGTTAGTGAGTCTCTGAGGAATTTCAGAAAACTTTAGCCGTGGGCAGTCAAAGATCTGGAATACAATAAAGCATGTTATCCTTGTCCAAAACATAAACTGCAATCAAATGAGAAAGTAAGAAATCAACAGTTCAAAAGTAAGGTGATTTTGAAAGCTATAATTCTGGCTTTTATTCTTCTGTAGTTACAGCCTGGGCTAGTTGACAGATGCATCAGATTACAACAATTTTAGGTATGCCACTTTTGGTTTAGTTGCCAAAGGGCACAGGCCACTTTAACAGAACACCAGTATCAAGTGCATCGATAATGGCAGAGAAGTGAACACTTCCTCTTTCAGTAAGGGTTTGAAACAGCATATCATAAAGAAAAAAATTTTTTTTTTTTACCAGAGGAAATATAAAAGCAGTTTGCTTTATTTTTCCCAAGATATGTTTCCTGCAATATTTCATGCTAAATAAAAATACAAGAAAACACTTTGGAATTTTAAAAACATCTGGGGTTTGGGGTGGGTTTTTTTTTCTAAGATTAAGGGGAAAATAAAAAGGCAATATGGTTTTACTTATTTTCAACCAAAACCTAAATAGCCTCTTGGAAGGGATCCACTCCAGTTTGCCCCTGAAGAGCTACTGTGTCCAAAAGGGAGCTACCTGCTGGAAGTATTTGTCACAGTTAATGTATTCTTTATCATGGGAGTCTTGCAGCTTGTTTGTTTTGATGTACTGCCAGAGAGCCTGGATGATGGCTGACCGGGTCTGTGTGTGTATGCCCAGCAAACGGGCTAGTCGTGGGTCCAGTTTAAACTGTGGAGGCTGTAACAGAAAGAGATGGAAATGGCAATAGCGAGAAAAGCAACCAGATACAGAGATACGACGTTTCAGCTTTGATTCTTGTGGGACTCTGTTTCTCAGGCAAAGCACCCCATGCAATGGCAGAGATTGAAAAAATACAAAATGCTCAAATGTGTACCACTGTCAGTGCTCTGGAAGAGCTATGTCTAGGGTTTGAAAAGAGGGACACTCTACATGTGCTATGCACACAGACTATCTATCTGTATCACATGTGTTAGTTAGATAATAACAATTTGCATGCAGACTCAGAAAGGAATTTTCCTTTTCAACACTGATGCATATCTTGACTTTAGGAAGTGGGGAAGAAAGAGGATGGACCTTCCTCTGAAGGTTAACCACAGACAGAGAGAATAAAGTCAGGATGATGTTTTGACTTTTGCTAATAAATGCTCAGCTGCCTCACAGCAACAAAATACCCAGGAACTCTGTTTTTCAGGCATGTTCACACCATTCTGCAGGGTACCAGAAAATTTAACAAACCACAGCTAGTTGATACAATATGTTTCTTCTCTTGACCTCTGTGATACAACTCTGGAACTACCGTGTTTTGCCATCTCTAGTAACATACACTCCTTGGATACTTTTGGATTTGGTGCCCCTTCTAGTGCGCTCCCATACTCAAGTATAATAATTGCCACATTATTAGGCAAGGATTACTGTTGCGTGTCCTGTCACCCAATGCTAGCTTTAGAGCAAATCGAGACTTAAGCATAGCAGAACATCTTTTTTAAAGCATAAATTTATAATAATGGTGAGCATAACAAACACCATTATACTGTCTTAACAATAAAGATTTTAACTGGTTACATCAGCATTGCAGTTAGCTCATACACTCTCTTAAATTCCTAAAATTTTCTCTATGTTAACATAAAATGGAATGTCTTTTCCCTGGACAGATGCTATCTGCATGGAGGGGAAAGAGAATGGCACAGAGTAAGTAAGATCTTATACAATCAAAATGTATCTGAGACTGAACTACCATTGAGAAGGGAGATCCCATGTCCTCTCAGCAACTTCTATTAATTTCCTTAAGACAGCAACTTTTCATTCAGGGATGGTTTCAGTCAGATTAGTGAGCTCCACAACTGCAATCTCCACTGTTTGTGCCAAGAGGATGGAGACTGTGGCAGTGCACAGCCACAACTGAAATGAAAGTGGGGTTTTTTGAGCAGCTTATTCTTATGATAGCTTAAAATAGTTTGAAATTGTGCCCAGGAACCTCTTACACATTCTATCCCAAGGCAGAATAACCTAATTTTGCCTAACTTATTCTTGCTGTTGTTGTTTCCTGTGACTGGGATCAGGGATCCAATTTCAAAGTCAGTCTTGTTAGTTTTCAAATGGATCAGTTCCCTGACTTGTTTGAGCTCAGCCCACAAATACTACTAGTACAGTAGAACTAATACTGACAAAAGAAAGGAAGCAGGAATGCCTAACAAGACCTTTTACTATTAGTAAAAGCAACTCTAACCCCTTCAGGGCACTGTTGTCTTATGACAGTTTAGGGCACAATGTAATCAAAACTGAAGAACCCAGGAAAACTGTGTAGTCTGCTCTGAAAAAAAAGGCTGCCACAGCTGCACAGTTCAGGTACCACTAGCAAAAGCCGCTCCTTTGAAATTCTGTACAGAACCATAACTCATGTGCAACTTATCTAGCTATTCTTTGAGAAGTGTGAGGTGGAAATACATATTCTTTCTGCAGATGGACAATAAAAATACTAATTATCATAGTGCTAAGAACAGTATTTTGCTAGGCTGTAACAGAAACTTGTTTAATATGTCCCCTTTAATTTTTAAATAATCTGTCAGTTTGGTGTCATTCTGACCTCAATGGACTATGTGACATTCTGAGTCCCAAGTATATTGGGTTTTGATATATGTGATAGGATGAATTTGCTCTGTTGCACTATGTCCCAGTGGCTGTAATTCCCATGCCAAAAGCAGTCTGCTGACCTGGTAGTCCAACATGAGGAGTAATGTGCACCGCACACTGACATCACCAGGTCTTTTCACCTGGAAGCCATCCGTTTCCTGGGTTGTAGGAGTTCTGTGCCACTGCCAAAGGAAAAAGCAAGTAATATGGTCAGTCTTTTTCTTCAGTGATATCCATGGAGGTGCACAGTATGCCATGTAAGAATAAGACTAGTACAAGCCTTCTGGAGATCTTGCAATTAATTAAAAAACAGAAAGAAAAGGGAAAAAAAAAAAAAACACAAAACACCCTCCCTCCCCCAATTAATCTCTCGCTCTGCCCTTACAATTCAGCTTACATGCACAAGCTGTTCTGCTGTTAACAAGCTTTACTCGTTACAAAAAATGTGCACAATATTTTCATCGTTTCGTACATTCTGTCCAAAGATGTGCACTACATCACTACCACATCTATGGTTTTAGACCATATAGATTCTGCTAGGAAAACAATTCTTAAAAAGAATGGAACTTTGAAAACTTTACACGAAGTATTCTAATGAGATGATGAATGCAAGGGAACTTAAACAAGGTAGAAAACAGGAACAAAGCTGTTTACCTGTGCTAGTGTCAGGTTTATACGCAAAGGGTGCATGACCTTCTTACCTCCACAAGATGGTTGTCAGGTCCATAAAGATCTTTGTCCAGCTCAATAACCAAACTCTTAAAAAAAGACGAAAACTTCCGTTTTTGTTTGCTGAGCTGTACAAGCAGAAGAAACAGAAATGTTTAAGGCTGCGTATATTAGCTTGTGTTCTATGCTTCCTTCTCAGGCTTTCTCTTTCTCTTGAATATTAATTCCCATATAGACCACAGATGTGATCAATCTAATTAGGTTTTCTCTCTGACAAATGCAGGGTAAGATGCAAATATTTCAACAGTAGTGGAACAGTGCACACTTGAGGGAAGTTTTCCCTTACTCTCTTAATGTTATTGGAAAAGATTGGCTTGTAATGTGAACAAGCACCTGTTGGAGCAGGTCCAGAAGAGACCACAAAATTAATCCAAGGGCTGGAACATCTCTCCTGTGAGGACAGGCTGAGGGAGTTGGGCTTGTTCAGCCTGGAGAAGAGAAAAGTTCTGGGGACACCTTATTGTAGCCTCTCAATACTTGAAGGGGACAAGGCCTGTAGTGACAGGACAAGGGGCAGTGCTTTTAAACTGAAAAACAATAGGTTTAGATTGGACATAAGGAAGACATTTTTTACAATGAGGGTAGTGAGGCCCTGGCACAGGTTTCCCAGAGAAGCTGTGACTGCCCCATCCCTGGCAGTGTTCAAGGCCAGGTTGGATGGGGCTTGGAGGAGCCTGGTCTAGTGGAAGTGTCCCTGCCCACAGCAGAGGGTTTGAGTAGATCATCTTCGAAAGCCCCTTCCAAACCAACCATTTTGTGATTCTATGGCTGCTGTATACCTTTTATTTAACAGTTTGTTTTTTTGATGAGTGTTAATTTCTTAGTCTGATTTGTCAGATAACAGTAAATTTTACAGATTAATCATACACTAAGTAAAAGTATTTCCTTTTACATTTTGCCTTTCGATTTAATTATCAGTTATTTTTTAGTAGACAGCTCATACTGTCTGAATGAAAAACTGTGAAGTTTATATACATATACATATCTATGATTTCATATCTATAATCATACTTTATATATATATAATCTAACTTTTCATAGAATACAGTCCACAGGATTTCAAGTATTTTCTTCTCATTTAATACAGATAATATTTTAGAAATACATCCTCCTGCAATTTAAAATTGCCAGTAATTGAGAAGCTATTTTGTTCCAATAAAGACTCTCTTTGTTAAAATATATGCTCTAATTTCTAAATTGAGTCTAACTTCAATTTCCAGATGTTGCACTTTATCACCCCTTCATCCTCCAGCAAGATTATGATTTTGATTCATGTACAGTTATCTCCAGACAGAGATATGCCTTGAAAGCCTTGTCCTCTCCATACAGACATGCTCTCCATCTGTATCTTATCAAATACTTAGCTTGCCCAGTCTATTCAAATAAATGACACCTTTTTCTAGGAAAGTCCAGCCTTCCCCAAGGAAAGCTAAATCCATTACTGAGGTTTCTGAGGACTTCAGAATGATAAAACTTTTCTTCCATCCTTGCTCTGACCTTCCATACATCATCTTGTCCTCCCTAGGAATGTAAACTCCTCACTTCCCCTTGTCATCGTACTCTTCAGAAGATGCAATGTTTGCTGCAGGCACACCTCTCATGACCTGAACCCTGCCATATCTTTTAAGGGAATTGTCTCAGCCCTATTCTCTCCACCTCTTCATACCTGTCCTGTCCTTAAGTCTGTTGCCCTCCCTGCCCCTTCCCAACATTTACATTATGGTCTTATCCCTCACTCCAGCTGGACACAGCACCTTCCCAGCAGCAATAAGCTAATGCTGCCATTCAGAGATGTCTTGTCTCAGTTGATGTCCCCAGTAAAGTCCACCACCCCACAGGACAACCTCTAGATCCTTGCCAGCCCCAGTGAAGCACAGGTAAGTCATACGTCATCCAGGAGCTTCCCCTCCACTCGCAGCTCCCATGAAGCAATGCTGCCGTCAGAGTCATCAGCATCAGATTTTGCAGGATTAAATGTGTTGGAGATGTAAAGTCTCAGTTTCCGCTTTTGCTGTTAGAGAAAAGAAAAGTACACATCCATTTTAAGTCCAAGATCTGAGGAAGCCACAGGAAAGGTGATAGTTATACATTTAGTAGAGAATCTGCAAGTTTAGTACAGTTGCACCAGAATTTAAGATTTGGTTATGTATAGGAAAATATACTGAAGAGCTGAATCTGAAACTTCCTTTCAAAAACTATTGGCTATACAAACATACTAAGATCCACTGTAAGTGGAGAAAGACAGGAAGTTGCAGGGCCAAGCTTCAGAGGCAGGGACAAGCCTCAGAAATACAACCTGTACTCCTGGATTAGATATTTGAGAAACAATTGGAAGAAAAGCATGATACAATGCCCTTCCTGTCTAGATCCTAGCTAGACTGCTAAAACTCAGCTGCAAACCTCTTGCCACATGAATGTCTTCCATAGTTGCATCAGTTCAGATTTGTAAATGGCAGTTACAAATACAACTAATGCTGCAAATTATGTGCTGGACACATCTTTGCCCATCTTCATTCTAACATTATGCAGAGCCTGGTAATAATCTTCTTATACCTCCCACACAGGCTGCCTAACCTTAGAATCATAGAATGGTTTGGGTTGGAAAAGACCATAAGATCATCTAGTTCCAAACCCCTGCCGTGGGCAGGGACACCACACTAGAACATGTCACCTAAGGCCCTGTCCAACCTTCCTCTTTAACTGCCTTTCACCCACATCAAACATGTTGCAGATCCAGCTTGCTGTGAGACCTGAGTGGAGGAAGGCATCATGCTTCACCCCTAACCCAGGTGGTCAAACCTGTGAGAGATACAATCATGCCTACCTGATGTAATTTTTACAGGGTATCTAAGGTTTCTCAGTCACTGTACTGACTTAGGGCTACGTTACTTCTCAGTGCCCTTCTCTCCTGTGCACCATGCAGAAAACATGGTGATTAACTCTGATGCATGGATTCAAGAAAAGATATTGCCAAAAATTTCACTGGGACTCAAATATCTGTTTATAATAAAATGACAAAAAGGCTACAGCTGTCAAGTTAAGCAGTCAAAACAACCTTCATACAAATTAAGAAAGAAGTAGTCTTGTAAAGCTTTCACACTCCCACATACACACATATAGGAGAGAAGGAAGTCATATACATCAGGTCAGGAAACTAAAAATCTAATATAGCACAGAGGAATGTGGGAGGCAGAGATGCATGGCTGAAGAGGAAAAAGACAGTGACAGAAAGGTTTGATGGAAATGGAGTGTCAATAGTATGCACTGATAGGAAACAGGTTTTTCAAAAGTGCCGTAAGTCCAGAAAACGACAAGCTGACACAGATAAGAACAGGCAGACAGGTAGTGAAATATTCCTGGGAATCCATATTCTTTCTCCTCCTTTCTTACAGAATTTCTGTTGCTAAAGTGCTCTTTCATTATATAGATTTTGGGATTTTTATTTTAATGTCCCAGAATCTTTATTTGGTGTAGAGGACTTGTGAAGGACTTCACATTTCTAAATTCAAAACTCTTTAAATTAACTTGCACATTTTATGTTCCTAAATTTTACTCCCAACTGATTATTTGCAAAACTGCATCTATATACATAAGCAGCTTTTCTCTTATGAGTTCATTCTAAATACTCCACAGATATTTCAAGTTTGTATCACAGATTCCATTTCCTCTTCTTTTGATTTCCAAAGACACTATAACCATTCTCCCTTTTACCCTGGAAACTCCTTCCCTCCTTGTATGTCCCCATGTCTGGTAGAAACTATGTCTGTTTCCTCTGAAATCTGACATTTCATCACTAAGATCATCCTCTGCAATAACATCCTTATTCAAATCTGAGTATTGTAGATGTCTTTCTTTCTCCTAGCTTTCAGGCTGTAGCTGCCTGGCATAGTCCACCTGAAACCAAATTAGTAACAATGCCTAACTCCACTCCAAAATACTTCTCCTTGATACTTTCCACTGTTTGCCTTCACTAACTCCTTATAACTTTTCTTTCAAGTCATGCATAAGCCAGATGCAGCTTACATTTCAGAACTGGTCTCCTGCTGGGTTCCCTATACTTTCCCTGCTCTGCCGAACTCATGAGTCTGCATATCTTTTATTTGTTTGTCTCTTCAATGTACAGTGTTTTCTTGTAAATAACAAACTCTTAAATTTAATCATTTCCTCACTGTAACCCCTATTAATCAGCCCACTTCTTCCACACTGTCATCAGAAAGAAACTTAGAATAATTACGAACAAAAATCCTACATAATGGCTATCTCTAAAGTTATCTTTTGCCCTACTTTCTATGTACCTTGATTTTAGATCAAAAAGCATTTACTCTTTGACTCCAGCATGTTACAGACACTACTGACAACCTGCAAGTACTGTGGAATGCTGAGCCTTTAGTCTCTGCTAATCAAAGATATTCTATCCAACAAGCAAAATGTGCAACCTGTGTCCTGCGGGCTGTCTTCAGATTTTGGTCCAAAAGGTACAGCAAATTTGCAACACTATTAAGGCAGTGATTATGTCCTAAATGCAACCACAGAAAGATCCTTGCTTCTGACTTACCAGGAAATCAAACAGGGCAATTGCACAGCTGCAAGGGGACTCCAATAGCAAATGGGCTTTAAATCTATTAAAAATCTTTATTAAAATAAATATTTTATATTTAATATTTTATTAAAATAAAGATTTTTAGACTGAAAAAGACTCAAAATCTTAAAAGTCTTCATTAGAATATCAAGCAGAGTAAGGGAACATAAAGGAAAACTCACTTTTGCCACATAAAATGGAATTTAAAAAAATAAAAAATAAAAAAAAATCTGTAAACCATATTTTCTCTGCTCACATGTCCTTGAAAATGGATCATTTCTTCAGGCTTGCTCTTATTCCAGCAACTCTGTGATTTCCGAGGTTGCAGAAAACTCTGTAAGGTCATTTCTGGGAAGACACAGAGAATCCTCTCTTTTTATTACTTAAGATCCAGCTGTGGTTGCGCTATTGCCTTCTTTCAGGAGACTCCAAATTTCTGCTTTTTCTTCTGGTGTTTTACTTTAAGGAGGTAGTCCCTCATCCTTTTTGCCTCGCTGACTACACTACCCTGCACTTCATCTGGTACAACGTCCCCTCCCTCTAGGCGCTCTACCAGGCCAAGTACACCTCAGGACATGACAAACATTAGCCTTCCTTTCTACAGCTGAGCTACCATCCTGTAACAGGAACCTACATAGTAATGCAACTGCAAACAGGTGTCAGCCATCACAGCTGTCATAACCAGTAACTCTAGACCTGACCTGCAGAGTGCAGCCAGATCTGCCAGAGACTTTCTGGTAAGCAGTCTAAAAAGCTGTGAAAGAGGCATTTGGCCCTGAACACTGCTTGAACAGCCAAACACGTCCTCCTCTGTACAGCACCATACTGATCCAGAAACAACCAAGCCTCCACAACTGCCTTTCTTAAGCTGCTGACAACGTATCCACCTCCTGTTTGTCCCCTTATGAGTTGCTACTCCATCTCTCCTTCTTTCTGCCTTTCCCAAAATGCCCACTACCTCTTCTTCCTTACACATCTAAGTGTTGCCAGCACTACTGGCTTCTCATAAAAGCTACCAGGGAGCAGCTCTGCACCAGACATTCTAGGGGGTTGACTACCTTCTTCCAGTTCCAGGAACTGGAATTGCACTTGAACTTGCCCTACATACACCTATCACCAACAGTGGTAACAGATACTTTGAGCAGTGGCATTCAAAGAAAATACATCTTCAGCAAAACATCAGAACCATAGCTCTACAAATGAACATTTTCTTTCTACAGGTCGGCTCCTTCTCCTGTACCATGACTCTTCTCCTGTAAGCTGAGACACTACAATCTCACCTGATGAACCAAGATTCTGGCAGACATTGAAGAATATAGTCTGAATTCCTCCTGAAGAGATCTACTCAGTGAGTAACAACTTCAGCACTCACAGCTATACTGCCATCATAAGGATGATCAGCCTTGGAAGACGTCAGCTCAGAAATGATATAGTCAAGACTCAAGTTTACTCAAGAAGACCTAAATGGCACTGGCCATATACATATATATATAGCCATATACAGACCATAAAGTCCCTTGGTTGAAGACACACACCCAAAATCACTGCACTCAGTTCACTTATCAGTACTCCTGGCTTCCATAATAATGCCAAGTTCATATCCAGAAGGCTCTGAATGTGAGGTATTCTTCCATCTCCATCTCATCCAGGCAGGAAATGATACAACATCAGTTATGTGCAACTAGGTTATTGTGCAGCTTAAATACAGCAGTGCAATGTAGTTTAGGAAGAAGACACTGCTCTTCAACAAATTCTGCAAATTTCTTAGCAATGCATATTATAGCACAGATCTAAAATCAATTCTCCTCTCTGTATGGTTGGCTCTCAGAGAACAGAAAAGCAACCAACCAAAACCCATGGCTTTGATTTTTACTGGTAGGATTCTCAGTACCTTGGAGCAAAAACTAAAGAGAAAACTTGCAGCTCTAGGGCAAGAAGAAAGCATCACATTTCATCTCTCCCAACACACTGAAACTTTACCAGCCACACAGAAAAAATTAACAAGGGGGAACTTGACAGAGACCTGATCAACACTGCAAATCAAATAACTCTTGAACAAAAATCAATAAATGCTTAATCTGCTTATTCCCCAAGTGTAAGATACACAACTTTAAGATGTATCTTTGACTTGTCTTCAACAAAATGAACCTGAAATGGCAGTCATATTAAAAAGAGACGCCTTCCCCAAAAAGCACTGTATTTCAATTAAAATCTCTTCCTGAAAAAAAGACACATATGTGACAGAAGACTGGGCATGTCAGCAATGAACTATTGCAAAGGTCTCAGCTACAACAGCAGCACAATTGTCAGGAAAGCTCATGTGGAACGAAACAGATCTGAAAAAGAGGCTGACAGGAATGCTGGAACAGCAGTACAGCTTTTTCTCTCCAAGTTCTTAAATGTTATCTTCACACAAATCAGCACAGTTTAAG